GTCTCCTCTTTGAAGTTCCATACAAGACACAAGAAAAAGATTTATAAGTGGTGGAGAGTTTGGTGTTTGCATTATTGCATGGATTAGGTTGTTAAATAAAATTATTTAAGTTGCCCAAAATATTAACGTTAATATTTAATAACTTAAATAAAATAGATCAAACAATACAATACTTGAGGGGTTTTTACAAACATAAACGAGTTTTTGAAGTAGAACACACTGCCACATTTCATTACAAACACATATGTTTCACATACACTTAGATTTTTTGGGAAAGATAAGCTTAATGAGTACTTCTCATAACTCATATTGGCTTGTTTCGACCAAACTTTTCCATGAACCACTCATGTTTCTTTGAAGCCAAGATATGTCCAATCACCATTCCGCAGAACACACCAGGTACATAGGCTATCGCCGCTGCTATCCAATTAATCACTTGTTCTTTTGGCTCCGACAAATCCTCAGAATGATGTGGTATAGGATTCAAGACATGAGTTTCTCCACATATATCCTCGAGACCGTAGAGTTTGGGGTTGTCCATGAACGAAGAACAATTTTGTCTTTGAAACTGTGTGCCTCTTGGTATTGGACCTTGAAGATTATTGTGAGAGAAGTTCATGATTGATAAGAAGGTGAGGCTGCCAAGATTAGGAATCTGACCAGACAGGTTGTTACGGGATAGGTCCAATGCCTCAAGCTTTGTCAAATTTTCCAATGATTGTGGGATACTGCCTGTGAATGCATTACCCGATAAGTTGAGTACACGCAATTCCTTCAACAACCCGATAGACTCAGGGATATTACCAATAAAATTGTTTCCTGAAAAGTCAATGGCTCTGAAGTCCCTTCTGATCCGCTCAAATTCTGTATATACTCCTTTATGCACTATTTCCATCGAGTTATGATAGTCGATACCAAACCTTGGATTGCCTAAGTTCTCATCATCGTAAGCTTGTTCGATGAATGTGGCCATGTTACGCCAATAAGAAAAATACAAAGGTGGCAAGGAGCCAGTAAAGGCATTGAGTGATATATCGATGACTCTTAAATTTTGAAACCCAACGGATCGTTTGGGGTGATATACCGGTCCATAGAATTGGTTTGATCGAAGAATGAGGACGTTTAACGATGGTAGAGAACCCAACCAAAATGGAAACTTGTCATTGATTAAGTTGCTTTGCACATTCACAAGTTGCAAAAGATTGCAATTTATCAATGATTTTGGAAGCTTTCCCTCCAAATGATTGTGGCTCACGTCAAGTACTTTTAAAGTGGTAGCATTGACAAATATATACGGGAGAAATCCACTTAAATTGTTACTACTCAGAAGTAATTGTTCAAGTGAAACTAAATTACTTAAACATTGGGGAATTGAGCCACTAAAGCTATTGTTGGACAAATCTAAGAAGTCTAAAGATCTAAGCTTACATATCCACTGGGTCAATGGTCCTCGAAATGAATCCGAGCTAAGATCCAACTGCGCCAATTGTGTTTCGTTAAAAACTTGAGATGATTTTCCAAAACTACTAAAAGAGTTGTAACTAATAACTTATATATAGAGTCAGGGACTGGACCATCAAATTTGTTATGATCAATGTATAAAACCAGCTGGTTAAACGATTACCAAAGTCTATTGGTCCTGTGAATTGGTTTCTCCCCAAGAAAACCTTCATCAACTAGGGAAGTGTGAACAAAGATGTAGGAAAAGGCCCGAAAAATGAATTCTCTCTCACACCAAAATATCCCAATTTTTGGAAGCCACTCATGTTAGTGGAAGCATGGATTCGAAGTAATTATTATTGAGGTACACTTCACTAAGTTCGGTTAAATTGGAAAATGAAATAGGAATCTTGCCACTGAAGTTATTATGGCCAAGGCCCAAGTAGTATAGTTGAGTTAGGTCTCCTAATGATGCTAAAACTTGACCAACTAATTGATTATAAGAGAGCTCAAGACTCTCGAGATGAGAAAGCTTTGCAATTGAAGCTGGAACTTGACCTACTAATTTATTATTAGACAGGTCAAGAGATGAAAGATGAGAAAGGTTTCCTAACGACTCTGGAACTTGACCTACTAAGGCATTATACGAAAAATCGAGAATTGTGAGACGAGAAAGGTTTCCTAATGCAGAAGGAATCTCTCCATAGAGACTAGAATTGAAAAGACTTAACTTAGTAAGATGTAGGAGTTTGAAAAGACGGCTATTTGGTTTCAAAGAACTATTAAGAGAGATAGAAGGTAGTTCAAGTGAAATCACCTCACCGGATTTAGCATCACACGTCACCTCCACCCAAGAACAACAATCACAGCTCTTGTTCCATGAGCTTAATGATGCATGATCATACCGAAGAAGCGGAAATTCATCTTTGAATTCCAAAAGAGCATCCCTCTGGTCGTTGCGGCAATGGTTAAGCGTAGGAGAAACGAGAGTGTATAGTAGGAGGGAAATGAAGCAGCAGAAATAACAATAACAATGGATTTGAACAATGGTTCTGATTTTTCGTTTCCATGACGGGGGTCTGCGTCTACCACTTTTACCAGCCTTGAGAATTCCGGAATTTGGGACTTTGTTGAAAGATCCCAAATTGAAACCCGTCGATTCAAAGGGCTTGTTAGAGGACATACTCTGCGTAGAGGAAACCTCCTCATCAAAAGCATGGGGAGCATCTTTACCAGGCTCAGAAGCAATAGGAGCATCCCCAACAAGGCAATTTCTTTTAAAAGGTGTGTTGTCTTCTGGATACTGGAAAACGTGCCCTTTGCCTTTGTCTATCTGGTGAGTAATCTTTGTGAGGATCGTAGAAGAATCA